AAAATCCTCAGTGCCTTCTATACATGGCCTGAATCACCCCAATTGCATCATCCAGCACAGCACATAACCTATCACATTTGAGAGATTGCTCTTAGGATCTACACCTGATCAGCCCTTCTCTTTGTTTTGAACGGGGCTCAGCCTGTTACACTCAGATAATGTATAGAATATGCCCATAGACTCAAAGCCCTCTCAAAATGCAGCACATTGGTAACACTGTCTTCTAGAAGGCAGGAGACTCATCATCTTCCATTGCTGGATGGCATTTCATGTTTCCCAGCTGCGAGGCTGTTTGCCTGCCCACGGCAAAGCTTTTCAGGGAAATGTTTAGGCTTGCCAAGCAGGGACCTAGCTCTTAGGACACTTAGGAGAGGGAAGAGGGGTGCAGGGCAATTTGTACATTTTAGGCAATGACTGTTTAGTGCAAAATGATACAGCTTAAGATACTTAGAAAATATTTTTGTATCCCAAATTAGTTGTTTCTTGATGAGTTGAAATCCTGGTGTGGATTTGACAGCTGCCTACAAATAGCACCAAAACTGTCAGGTCCCATTGCTCCCGCCCATTGGGCTTCAGCCACGCATGTCTGAACGGCTGTTCCTGCAGCTGCCAGCTGGGTCATTCCCAGTTCTTACAGAGTCCCCAGAAGAAGCTGCAGCGATGGGGACTTATTTGGCTTTCTGTCACCAGGTGCCGCTCAGTGGAAGCTGCAAGTACGTGCAGCCTTCTCCCAGCTTTCTGCCTGAAGTCAGGACTGGTGTCGGTGGGCAATCAGAAGTTGGGCTCGCTGTCCCACATGGTGGAATTCAGTCTGTGATAGGGACTGGGTGCCTCTGAGGGTTGAGAATAACTCACACCTTTATGACCTGAGAGTGAGAAAAGGATGAGAAAGAGCTCTGATCAGCAATGAGAGCTGCACGCTGTTCACAGGAGGTTTGCAAAGCTTAGGGAAGCCCTACATGAGCTGAGGTGTTCCAGGCATTGCTGCCAGTTGTCCAGCCTCTCATGTACTCCACGGGGTTTCCCATCCCAAACACTTTTATGCCTCAGACAAGTGAGCTTATATGTCATGTACCTTTAGCCCTTCTGGAACTGTATGTTTCTTAGCCCCTTCTCTAGTGAGCTACATATCAAAAGGCTCAGCTACTTTCTTGTCCAATGTCAAGCTTAGGGTCCACTACAGGTATGTTAAGTTTCCTAAATGAAGGTAGCAGAACAATTTGTATAATGGTCAGGACCAGCAATTTCTGACCTGTAACAGTTTATTATTTATTTACAATTCCTCTCAGAGCTAGCACATGATCTATCACAGAGAAGTTTACCCCCTTCAAAAAAGAAAACCTCACTTGTTTGGCAAAGAAATAAAAACACCATATGAAATCTTAAACGCTAAAAACATCTGAAAAAGGGTTCTGTTGATGGTAATAATGGAAGGTAACAGGGTTCCGTGAGTTTATTGCAGTGTGTGTTTTCAGTGGAGAACTGATCTGCAGTAGGTAGATTTTTCTGTAACTTTATATGCAATTGGAAAACATCCACTACATCTTGCTTGTGCTGGTTTTTTTCAAACTCAATTGGCTTAATCCCACGGCAGCCAGGTTTATTTGATGTTTCTCCATTAGCTAAGCACTGCTGGATGCTCCAGCACAATATGCTTTATGGCAAGGAGTGAGAAACACAGAAGCAGACTGTAGTGTTGGTGGCATTCCCTGCCATTGCCCTTTTGCTCCTATTGAACATCGTGTTCTACTGTGGAATATAATGAGGCTACACTGACAAGAGGTGACTTGACAAGCATGACTGAGGAAAGGGAAACCACTTTGACTTCATCATTATCCTTAAGCTCCACAAACTGCCCTTTGTTGCTTGATGGCCTGATGCCCACACATCTCCATTCTTTTTCTGGCTCTTCCTTGCCTCACTGATTCATTCTGGGTGAAGAAGCTCCCATAAACAAAAGGGGAACATCTCAGCTTTGCTTCCACATTGGGAAGTGCTATTTCAGTTGCTAGGGAATCTGCTTAGAAAATACAGCCAACTCTTAAAAACAGTATTTCTATTTCCAGGCATCTTACCTTATGCTGTTCTGTTGTTTCAGCTAATTTTCTGAAGAATCATACCCTTGTTTAGTTCTTTTGTTAATATCTGTGAGAAAATCTTTATTAGAACTTAAAACTGCTTCAGAACTAAACTCACATGCATGCATACATCACAAGAAGCCTAAACTGAGTCGCTTTCTACACTGGCAATATGTTGCCTAAGTTCCTGGAGAGGAAGAAAGAGAAATGCTACAAAATCTAGAGGCAACTGTACTCCAGTTTGTGACTTTGGCTCAGGGTCAAAGTAGTGTAGGGTAAGTCAAAGTGTTCAAGTAGAACACATTGAATACAGTTTTAAAAATTCAACAGTATTCTTGTGAAAATTGTCAGATATGTCTGGCGAGACAGTGAAATGGATCAGCAAATTTTCTATGAATGAGTCTTAAGCACATGTGGAGAGGTCATCCACTTACAAGCTCAGGCAATAGCTCTAGTAATGTAAACCAGGGAATCTGGATGGAGATAAAAAAATGTTAATAAAGTAATTGTCCCCAGATTAAAAATTTAAAAATACAGATTCATATAACTGTATCTGAGGTTAAGTGGAATGCATCACTGGTAAGAACTGAAGTAAAAGTCCTTGGAGTGTATTAGGTAAAGAACAATCTATGCTTGCAAGTAATTTTAGCAACTAAATGGCTCTGTCCATTCTCTGATTCCTAATGATAATGTCTCCAATTTCACACATTGATTTTTAAACAATGCGTTTCAAAATAAAGTGAGTTCCGTAGTCCAATTAGCAAAGTCACAGGTTTGCTGCCTTCTCCACACCTCATTGGAAACTCCATGCTGTTGAAGCAAGCAATTCCCTTATGCTCAAGGGAACTATTGGAATGGGGCTTAGATCGTTCTGCCCAGGCCTTACACATAAAGAACTAACTGCTCATCAGCCATAACAACTGTAGTTGGCACAGCCCGTCCCTAGAAAATGTTTCAGTCATTCTCCCTGAAAATTTCTTGGAAACTCTAAGCACTCCATTTCTCTTGTCAATAGAATCACAGAATATGCAGAGTTGGAAGGGGCCCATCAGGATCCTTGAGTCCAATTCTTGGCCCTGCACAGGACATCCCAAGAGTCACACCATGTGCCTGAGAGTGTTGTCCAAATGCTCCTTGAACTCAGACAGACTTGGTGCTGTGACCATGTCCCTGAGGAGCCTGTTCCAGTGCCCAACCACCCTCTGGGTGAAAAACCTTTTCCTGATATCCAAACTAAACCTCCCCTGACCCATCTTTATGCTGTTTCCTCTAGTCTTGTCACTGGTAAAGAAATGGTAAAGTCCTGTCACGAGTAAAGAAATCGGTACCTGCTCCTCCACTTCCCCTAGTGAGGATGCTGAAAACCACAATGAGGTCTCCCCTCAGGAGAGGGGAGGTTTCCTCTCCTCCAGGTTGAACAAGCCAAGTGACCTCAGCCGCTTTTCTTAAGACTTCCCCTCCTGACCCTTCACCATCCTTGTGGCCCTCCTTTGGATACCCTCTAATAGCTTAATGCCTTTTTCATATTGTGGTTCCCAAAACTGCACACCATATTCAAGGTGAGGTTGCCCCAGTGCAGAGCAGAGCAGGACAATCCCCTCCCTCGACCAGCTGGCAATGCTTTGCCTGACCAGGATACAGTTGTCCCTCCCAGCTGCCAGAGCTCTGCTGACTGATATTCAACTTGTCATCGACCAGGACCCCCAGGTCTTCCTCCACAGTGCTGCTCTCCAGCCACTCGTTCCCCAGCCTATACATACAACCAGGGTTGTCCTGTCCCAGGTACGGAATCCAGCACTTGCCCTTTTTAAACTCCATATGATTACCTCTCACCAAATAATCTCCTTAGTGGACTACAGACAATCACCCTCTTAGTTTTTCCAGTAATTAGTATTAAATTAAATGTCATTTTAGTCAGAAAGAGGGTGGAAGGAAGAGCAGAGGAATTTACTATTGGCAAAAGGTGCTGTATGGACAACCCTGGAATCACTAATCCATGTAAATTGTGGAATAAAGTCTGTAGAGTGGAGTTTCCTCTCTGTCTTGCTCCATGGGAGACAACAAAGGAAGGGAAGGAGAATTCAGGTATTGTGGCTACTGAACTGCTACAGACTTCAGGCTCTAGTAGGGCCACACAGGCAGTATATTTATTTACTAGACAGGCTCTCAAGTCATGCCTGCTGATCAGTTCCATGTGCCTCTTCTGTGTCTGGTACAGGATATGGTAAAATGTAAAGGGAAACAGTCTTTATGGGGTCTAAGCCAGATACAGCTATCAAAATCTGGCACTTGTATGTATGTGTGGTCATATGCTGCAGAAGAAATGGTCTGCTGCATGCAGAAAGTTGTTTCATTATGCTGAACTTGATATGACCTTGAAAAACAATATCTGTGCTAGCAGAGTGTAACCCAAATCAGTGCCAGGAACATCTATGATGGAACAGGCCTAGTGAGAACCTAGTATTTTACAGTTTCTCAGGCATCTCCATCCGCCTAGTCAGATTCAGCTTCTGGGGTCCTCAAGGTCTGTCCAGCCACAGCCTAAATATTTTTCCAAACTTTCTGAGCTACTTGGAAAATGAATGCCATTGTCTTGGTTGAGAAGCACCAGCAGGCCTGTCCTTTTATCCATGGACTGCTGGGAGAATACAGTTGCCAAAGCCACTGAGAGCCATGAACTGTTTTCCCTGGTCTCTGCTGTGATGCTGACAAGAGCTATGGCCAGCAGGGCTCCCTGTGCGTGTTGAGCAGTTGTATAGACATTTGCAGTTACAGCTGCTTCTGACTGCAGAAGACACTTCTTTCTCTTCTGAGCAACAGGGAACTCACTGTGCTATGGCGGTGGTGAGGATGGGGATGACATAGCCTCTATGCATGTGTTTTAGTACTATTAACCATGTTCCTTTTTGGTTTGCTCCACAGATATTATGTGGGAGAGAGATACCCCGCTGGGTGAACCGCCTGGCCTACTTCAGCTCATGCATCCCCTTCCTCCAGAGCTGCCTCCCCAAGGAATGGCTGACCCCAGCAGCCTTGCAGAGCCACATCAGCCTCGGCCTCCACAAGGAGGAGCAAGGGGACACAACAGATGAGGAGTCACCCTCCACCTCCGCAGCTCCCTCAGCCTCAGGCACATCGCGAACCTGTAGACATACTCGGGTCTAAACTGTGCCGAGCTTGCCCCCAAAATAACATCCATGCTCTCTTGTTCTATTTATTTCTCACACCCTTTCGCACACATTGGTTTCTTTCTTCTTCAGTGGACAACACAGGGGAGGAAAGACTTTCTACTTCAGTCCCTTTTCCAAGGGCTGCCCCTACAGTTGCTTGGCAAAATGACTGTGAACCCCAACACAGAACTGAGGAGTGTGGTGACTAAACTAGATACTCCTCACAGGGCCTCCACATGACCCTCAATCCACAGAGAACTGCTAAGTCTCTCAGGCATGAGAGCATGCATATGGGCAGAGTGCAAATACTGTGATGTTCCTTCTCTGGAACTGTTTTATCTTTTTATCTCTTCTACTCACCCATGTAAGCCCAGCAGTCTCTTCTCCATTTTGGCTGGGTTTCCCCTTCCCCTATGACAAATCTCCTGCTCCTACCCAGTGAAGGAACCAGAGCCAGAACTCAACCTTCTCATCTCTTAGACCAGCAACAAATTCCAGTTAGCCCCACCCCTTTTGTAATTATCAGGTTTCTAACTCATGTGAAGGACAAATGAAAGGTGCTCCTATTCTACAACCACTGATTTTCAGTTCTCAAATTTAAGAGCTCAAATGACTGTCCTGCTCTTGAAAATAATAACAAAGAACCTAGAAAATGAATGTGTTACTATGGCTTTTCTTTGGGGTCAAAAAGAGGATAGGGCTGTGGTGTTTAAAGGCAGCTGCTAAGTAGATGCAGAAATGACTATTGACCATATTCATGCTTTTCGGCTCAGACCTCTCTCAGTTGTCCTAATTCTAGGTAATGTTCCTGGTTTCCTTTTTTCCCCATATTCTCTGGGGAATCTCTCTCCTAGCTGACATTTGCTGGCTATATTTCGAGGAATGGCCCTTCTGAGCCCAATGAAAAGGAGAGTAAATCTGTTGGGAGGGTCAGTATTTCCTTCAGATTTTCCTCCTGCACCTCTCCACAGACCTAAAATACGGCCATCCTTCCCTGGCCTATTTTTGAGCCAACCCAAAAGGTAAAACATAAGTGGTGAACCCAAAGAAAGTCAACCTGTTCCTTTCTCCTCTCTTTTTGGAGGTGGAGGGGAAACTTAGGGCCACATCTGGAAAGCGCAGATAACCCTTCCAATGCATGGGCCACCATGGTGCCTTCCATTGTGTGCCCTATTTCAGTGGCATGAAAAATGGGCACAGCTGGCTACTGGCCTCTCCAGGCTGGCTCCTGACAAGAATCTTTGGATGTATTTATGGATGTATTTATGCTAATTCTGACAGCTAATAAGAAAGCAATGGAGGAGGAGAGGACAAGTACACTAACTCTTCTACTCAATTACCTCACTAGGAATTCTAGACAGGAGATGCAGGAAAAAATCAAAAGGGAAATCCAGGACCCCTCTCTCCCTTGCAACTCCTCTTGGCTATACAAAGGAGGACAAAAAATGAACAGGCACCATGTTGAGAGGGGGTTGCCATTTTAGAAATGCTGTTCTCAACAGCTGCTGCCAAGTCAGGACTTCTACCCTTCACTCAGAAAAAAAACTACAGGCCCTTTTTTTGGTCACAACAGCATGTTAAATCCAACCAGCTGTTTCTTTAGCTCAGGTATATAGAAGCGTGTGCTTTCAGGGCTGAAGGTCTTGGCTATGATGTACATCATGTCTGCACAGACAGTGCTTAATGGTTTGTTACATGTGCATGGCCTTAGTGAATCAGGAGGCTCTGGAGAGATCTGCTGGATGGAAGTGTAGCTCACAGGATGGCCTCACACCACTGCCTCCTGAAGTGATGCATGTTTGGGCAACAAAACCATTATAACATGCCTCTCTTTTTCATCCTCTGTACAGATTGCTGCAAGTTCTGTACTGAACTAAAGTCATGTTCCTTATTAACCTTGGCTGCTGACAGCTAGTGCTGCACTGTGAACAATTCTGCAGCTCCTAGTAACCACTCCAACACCAATCTGACTACTGTGGTTTGTCCAGGAATGTTTAATAAGATTTCCATCCCGATCTCCATGCCACTGCCCAGAAACCGTGTTATGCAATGTACTGTTTCACTCTATTCCCCTGCAGTCGTGGTCATTGCAGCCTAAACCGGCAGTGCAAGCTTCATTTGTCTGAAATTTCCAGGGTTTCTGCCAATAGCCAGCAGCACATTATGTGCAGTGAATTTTAAAGGTCCTTCTCCAGGGAAAAGTGAGAAGAGGCTTTCCCAGAGCTTTTGTCTAGGCCAGGGAAACTGCAGTCAGAAACACCTAGTTCCTGTTGTTGTGACAAAAGCCAGCCAGCCAGCCGTCACCCTTGTGCTTCTGCTCTGCACCTGAGCCCCAGATAAAGCATCATGCACACATCTAGGAGAGAACTAGGGCTCCAGAGGCACATTTCACACAGAAAACCCTCTTGCAGTATTTCACAAAGGAAAAAATACTTAACTGGCTGTATGGCAACCTGGAGAAGAAAACTGCATTCAGCCTCCTTGGGGACATGGATATGTGCTTTAAGTATTGGCAACAACACTTGAGGAGAGCTGTAAACATCATAAAAAACCCCGTATGTTTGTTTACCTACTTTTATGTTTGTCTGTCTGTTTATGACAGTAGGGGTCACATCAAGGAGTTATCAAACCTCTGCTGTAAATCAAAACCAGAATCTATTCCAATCTTCAGAAGTATTTCTCCCCACCCCTCTGTGTTCAAGGTGATCAACCAAACAACAATGACAAGAACAAAGAGACACTGTGGAAATAAATTATATATTGATGATAGTTTTACCTCTGTAATTTAACAGCATTTGAGATTATTAAACATGAAGACATTTTAAAATCCTAATTTACTCTTCCCATTATTACAAAAGAATTGTTGTTACTATATAATTATGTCATATTTGTACTTAGTTACACATTTGCTTTCTCTTGCTGCTTTTTCTGCATAACAACATGGGAGAATTTTAGATACCAACAGTTTTCAATGAAAACAAAAAAACAACTTACAAATCTTAACTGCCAGGACTTTTGGTGCCCTTTTAAAAGTTGGGTTGAAAGGGCACCAATTTCGCAAATGGGCACCAGCAGCTGTGGGTTATGTCTCTAACAGTATTCAGGTGGGACGGTAATACTGAAGGTGGGGTTACTCTAACACTGGAATATTAGAGGTACAAAACTGCTTCTAGGGAAAGTAAGAGAAGAGGAAAGTAAGTAATAACCTCTTTTCTCAGCATGTCTTTTTCTATAGTAGCAACTCTCTTAGTTTCAGGATATTATTTTTACTGATTTCTTTTTGGCCTTCCTCTTCCCAAGTCTGTGATTTGAGGCCTATATCTCTCAAACTGTTACAAAGTGTTAGAAGGAACAGTTATGCTTTCAGAGGCCCCGAGTGAACTGGTTACCCAGCACTGAACTGTGCTCTGTGATAAGTTCATCCCAGGCTCAGCGCAACATGAGGATGGACATAAATCTGTTCTCTTGCTCTCATTGCTCCCAGCTGACAGTTTGCATCTCTGGAATTCAGACTCATGCTGCCTTTGTGTTACTGAGGTACTCAGTAGAACTAGTCATTTCCTGCTATATTATTTTTTTTATTCTTCAGTTCTGTTTATTTGTCTCTAGGCTGGTAAGGCTCTCAGAACAAGTTAGTGGACACAGGATTGCAATAATATTAGCTCATCTTCTTATTATATGTGTTTGATTTTCTTCTCATTTTAGTTCCTGTATATGTGCTGGCTTATTATCATGTTCAGAAAAGTATCGCTGCCAGTTCCTTGATGTGATTAATGGGCAAGACCAAAGGAAGTGATCATCAGTGTTTAATTTTCAAATGTTTTTAAATTACTCTTTGAGTTGAGGCAGCAGGTGCCCTGTTCCACTCTGTCCCGGCTCTGCTTGCCATCAAGCAATGACTTGGATTGTGAAAAGCCTGTGCAGTGTGACTCGGGAAGTACGCAAAAGAGGAGCTGTCATTCTTCTGTCTCCATTCTGCCATTGCCACAGGCTACCAGAACATGGCAAAACCTCAGGCTATGGTAATATAGGAAAACATTGCAGCCTGTGCCTGGAGAATATTTGCTCTTGTCTCTAACAGGTCAGCGCTCCACCATTGTGAATGGGGCTGTAGCTGAGAGGTGTTAGATGCCGTGGCGGATGGCACGGCACATTTAATTCCTATCAGGTATGAGTAACTATAGACTCTAAATCTCAGAGTAAGGCTGTCTGTTGATGCCGTTGTAGCCAACTTTACTCTGAAACATAACCCCTATAAAGGGGTTTTTTTGTTCATTTTGACTGGGATAAGGGATAACACAGACAGTGTGATCACGGCTCCCACGGCTCAGGCTGCGCAGCGGAACCAGCGTTGGTGGCCGCGGCGGAGCGGCCGCTGTGCCGGCGGATCCGCGCCGCGCCGGAAGCGGCGGGGCCAGGCCGGAGGCGGCGGGGCCGGGCCGGAGGCGGCAGGGCGGTGCCGGGGCCGCGGGGCGGGAGCGGGGCATGGAGCGGCTGCGGAGGCTGTGGAGGGGCCGCACCATGACCTTCGGGGTGCCCCTGCTGGTGAGCGCCGCGGGGCGGGCAGCGCGGGCCGGCACAGCGCAGGGAGCGCGCTGCTGGTCGTGGGGGGACGGCGGCAGGAGGAGTTCTGCGGGAAGGAGGAGGGGCACGCGTGTGGCTGGTGGGCGCTGCTGCTGTCCCCCACCTTGTGCCCGGAGAGGGGATGAGCCGTGGGTCCGCTCTGCCCGGAGCTCAGGGACAGGGTTTTAAAATATACCCCTAAAGGTATTCCCAACTGGAAGATGAGGAGAATGCATCTTGGTGTTGGTTTGTTTTTGTTATTTATTTATTTATTTTAATTTATGGTTTCTTTATTTACAACACCATTTACATTTTTTTTTTTCTTACTTGCTTTAGCTTTTCAATGGATTTTGAACTGCAGCGGCACTGTTTGTCTGATAATTTGTACATCTAAATAAATGGAAAGAACTGGAGTGAAATGAGTTGATGGGTTATAGTTACAGTTGTGCTCGAAGGGGTAAGTGAGGCACAACTTTGTAGAGAGCAGTCGAACTTAGAAAAAAATCAGTATTGTCAAAGAAATAAAACAAAATCATAAGACTCTCTCATACACATTACCTCTGTAATTAGTGCATGATAGGTTGGCCTTTCCGCTCCCAAGTATCTGTGTTCATTAAAGGAAAAATGAAGCTGTTCACATTGCTTATAGATAAAAATTCAAGAAGGAAGACAAAAGCATCACCAAGGCGAGCATGGTTTCTGTTTATGCAAGTCATGTCTCATTTTCCAAATATACAATTGATTTGCAAAAATTAAAGACATTTTAAGGGGGATAAAGAATAAGGCAAAGGATAACTCCAAAACTCTTATAATACTGCTAGAGAAATTTATGTTATCTTTCTCAAATATTCAGCAGCATGCCTTAGAAAAATGGAGTGGTCCAGAGAAGGACAGTAACACTTGTTAGAGTTATAAAAGTTTAAGACCTATTATTTTCAAGGGATTTTACACAGGTTCTAGAGTAAGGATTTTCAGTGGAAATTACTAATGCAGTTGAATACACTAAAGTATCTTTTCTGAAAATACTGATGAAGGCATTTGTAAGAAATGGAAACGGTTAAGCCAAACAGAACAACAAAGTAGTGTGGTAATACCACAAGTGTGAATCATGGGCATCCGCAACTCCACTCCCTGTTATTGCAGACAACTTCTTCCTATAACACCTACGTTAAAGTGACCAAGCACAGTATTACAGCTGTTTAGATATCCTGCTGCATTGATGTAAACCTAAAAGGCTGGAGATGTTGAAGATGAACTTTAAAGACTAGAGGAGAGCAAGCTAAAAGGTAAAGCAGACATTCCACCTTTAAGGAATGCTTGAAGGAATTGACTTAATTTATTTTAGAAAAGTTTGAGCAGTTCTTACATATTGGCAGTGGTGATTGGTTTTCATAATTTGGGAAATTACCAAATGTTAGGGAAATAGTACTCTTTGTTAAGAAAGAGCACTTGTGATACATGCATTGGGTTCTTAAGAAGAGGTTGAACAACCATCTGGCTGCAGTTCTGCTTCAGTGCTGGAGCCAGGACTTCAGCTTTCCAGGCCGAGATAGGCCTGTGTTTGTCCTTTTGGCCATCCTAGTGTTTTTGCATGATTTGCCATAGGTCATAGCAGAAATTTTTAAGACTGATTTCTCTGACTTTTACTGCCTAATTTCATTCCATTCCTGTTACCAGAGCTCCTTCCTCCAGACACAGTATTACATAGAAAAATATCCTATTATATTTCTTTCTAGGGTTTCATGTCTCCCTGCCTTAAAATTATTCTCCCATGTGAATACTTCAGAATGTTTCTATATTGCTGCCCAAAGGCTTCCCACGGAATAAGAAAAAGGAAAATTCATGCAATTCGTGTCAGTTCTCCAGCTGTCTCGTGAACTCTGAAGGCATTTCTGAAGCTGAACAGAATTGTGCTAAAAGATCAATTACAGCAAAAAAGACAGTGAATCTAGGCACAGAATCAGGAGCATGCCTTTGCAGCCCTTTAAGTCCTGCTGAATTTGTTAATAATACTGAAACCAAAGGTTTCTGTTAGATTCTTGCATTCTGTATGTAATTTCTTTTTCACTACACAGGAACAGTACTATTCTTCAATACTGCTGGACTTTTCATAAGTACCATATTTGCTTTTTTGATGGAAAAAATAATCAAATGGCTGTCATATCTTGCCTCTTTACACTGCATTTTTGAATGAAGAATCCCTGTACCAGTTTTTCTGAAGGCTTCAAGGTTAAAGAGATCCTCATTCAATGGTAGATGAGTGTCTCAATATACAACCCCCCAAGATATATGTTTAAAATAGTCTTACTTTTTAGTGTAAATTATCTTGATGTTTTTTTCTGTGGTGTTTTGGGCTCAGGGCTGTTATGGTATTTCAGTGGAGAAGGAATTTTCTTGGCTGATCTTTAAACCTCATACTGACAGCAACTTTCAGAGTAAGATGTGTAAATCACAGTTTTCAGTCATACTTTCTCAGTAGCTAAGAGTGTTTCTTTGTGAGCACCAGCAAGACTCTAGGAGGTAGGACTTCAGCCTTCTGGAAACCTCGATTTGTGAATTTTCCTTTAATTCTGTCAACTTTGCAGATAAAATATCTCTGCATGGCATAAAACAGTAAACACGCAGGAGAGAGTGATGTAACCTGGTATGGAATATCTTAACAGCTTAAATGCTACTGAGTGAGTAGTCCCAAAGCATTTCCGAAGGTGGTAACATTTCTGTAGATGTTGAGAGGAACTCTAGTGACCTTATCAGGTGTGTCTAAAATTTGCTGTTATGATGATGGAGGACTGTTCCACCTCTGTGGTAACTTAAGACTCTTTGACAGCTATATTTTCATCTGTTTTCTATCATGATAATGGGAACTCTTTCCTTGTCATATGAAGCTTAATTTACAAGTCTTCAGCATGGTTGTATTACAGAAGAAGATGATCAGTCTCTGCTGCTTTAGATTCCACAACCAGCTCTACCTGACCAAAAAGGATGTGTCTATCAATGTCATGTTGCTGCAGTGATGCTTCTGTAGGATCCTGGGAGAGCATGGCTCTTTGGTCTTGCAGCTATTAGATCGGGTGTCAGACCTTTCTCGTGAGACACCAAACATGTAAGGTTACTTCTCCAGTGCAGTTAGGACATTTGAAGGTTGTTAAAAGTTATTTTTTCTGACAAGTATAAATGGTTGCTCTGTATTATTGTGAAAACAGGTTTAAATTTCAAAATTGCAAAGCAGTAACAAGTGTAAAACACATATTAAAAAAACCATTATTTTGC